GAATTCAGTGTGATCTGTTGTTGACTAAAATTAATATATATATATTTCTCATCTATAAAATGAGGATAACAATAATATCCACCTCATAAAATTGTGGTGAGTTTATTTATGTAATGTGCTGTAAATAAGTTTCTATATGCTTAGAACAATGACTGGCATATAATGAGCTCTTAATAAATGTTACTGTAATTATGTTCTATCACTATAAAGCTGGGTAAAATTCAACATTTGTCAATTGTTAGCTTCTCCCAGAAATTTAGAATTTGGTGTTATCAAACAGAATTAAGTAAATGTATTAATTTCAAGTGTTAAAATTATTTTTTCTTTAATAAGGGAAACAATTAGTAAAAATGGCTATCATCCCAGGTTGCAGCTAAAATCAAACAAGACATTGACAATATAGGGCTGTGGAGGAACCTGGAGGTGAACACCAATTCAAATCAGCAACTGGAATGCAATACTCAGTGAAACACTTTCACACAAAGAAGTTTATTCATTTATTTTAGCTGGTATTTAATAACAAGTCACAACACAATGAATTTCTCTCCTGTTGTTTACAATGAATCATTTCTAATATAGAAGTGAATAAAATTTTTAAAACTGAGTTGTTCTTCAGTCCTTGTGACAAGTGTCTGGAGCACCTTGATGTCAAAGTTGCTTCTCTCACTATCTTGCTTGTTTCAAAGCATATGCAGCCCTTTACTTCCCAGAGCTGTAGACCCATGATCCTAGGCCCTGCAGATACAGTTTTGCAAATGACTCTATTCGAATCTGGGTCTCGGGCAAGAGAGTTTTCAGGTCCTCCAAATTGTGGGTGTTAGCACCAAGTCAGGTATTGCGGATTTTGAACCTGGACCCATGTTCTAATAGCCAGTTTTGACTTTGCAGCCATGTTCCTGTGTCAATCTAGTGCCCACTCCAGAAACTTGGATCCAATTCTGAAGATCTAAGAAAAGGGACTCCAGGAATAAGCTGCCTTGGTTTTGTGAGGCCTCTTCAATAGCCTGCCTCCTGCCTATCCTCACACTCTTAGAATCACCTTCTGACAGATTCGCACGATATCAGTCGCTTGTCTGGTTCTCCAAATGCCTTTGTTCCTATCATATATCTCATCACTGAGATCTCCAGGCCGACTCTGGCAGATGTACTGTTAAAATCTGTGTGGGGTCATCTCCTAACTGTTCACATGAATACAGACACTTGTCTGCTACCACTTCCTCTGAAAGAAGTCTCCCTTCTCAGCGGGGCTCTCTCTTGATTCCAGCAGTGAGCCTGTCCTCCACAAGGAGGTGTCTGATCTGCCCTGGTAGTTTGGTCAATATCTGGCCTGTTTCTGCAACACCAACATAAATTTGTGCTTGGGGTGGGAACACAGGTCAAGTGCAATTATGTGTGTTTAAGACTTAATTAAAAGGTTCATATCCATTAAGATAGCTATTTTTTAAGAGAAAGAAAATAAAAGTGAGAATCTGAAGAAATTGGTACTGTGCATTGAAAATGTAAAATAGTGCAACCATTGTGGAAAATAGTATGGTAGTCCCTCAAAATATTAAATATAGAATTACCAGAGGAGCTATCAATTCCACTTCTAGGTTTATAATCAAAAGAGTTGAGATCAGGGACTTAATCAAATTATTTGTACACCAATGTTGATAATAACATTGTTCACAATAGCCAAAATTTGGAAACAACTTAAGTGCCTATTTACTGCTGAATGGATAAACAAAATACGGTGTGTGTGTGTATGAATATCATTTGGCCTTAAGGAAATTTTGATAGATGCTACAATATAAATGAACCTTGAAAAAATTATGCTGAATGAAATAAACCATACACAATAGGACAAGTATTTCATAATTCCACTTATATGAGGTACCTAGAAGAGTCAAAAAGACAGAAAATGATTACCAGGAACCAGGAGGAGGGGAAAATTAAAGGTTACTGTTTAATGGGAACAGGGTTTTAGTTTGGGATGATTTTAAGAAAAGCTTTGAAAATAGACGCTGCTGATTGCTGCACAACAATTGATTGTACTTAATGCCATTGAATTATACACTTCAAAATGGTTAAAATGATATATTGTATGCTATGTATATTTTACCACAATAAAAAATTTATTTAAAAATAACTTAAAGAAAAAGGCAAAGAGACAGACATGAGGACAAACTGGATGTCAGAGTCAGAAAAGGAATTTGAAGAGGTACAGCACCTTTCCTTTTCTGGTGCAGAAATATGAGAATTTGTGGGTGTTTTGTGGACGGTTGGTAGGCCCGCCCTATATGTTTCTGATCTCATCTCTAACTTCTCTTTCCTTCAGCACTCTGCTCCAGTCACACTGGCCTCAGTGAGGGTAAAATTATGAAGTTTTCTTTGAGGAGGTAGGTAATACCCTCTCCAATACCCTCTCCACACTTCCCTCTTTAGGGTGTCTCCTTTAAAACATAATAGGATTGATATAAGGACTAACTTTTAAATTTTGCAATGCAAGGTGATGCATCTGACCCTTGGAACTGTAAATACATACCTTGAAATTAATTTTAAGTTAACTCAGGAGTCAATAATGAAATGTACAAAAGACAATCACTAGGTACATCCATTTGTCTCTCAAGGAGATAGAACTTTTACTTGTTCTTTTTTCTACTATACTGGATAAATTTGTGTGACTACTTTCCAGACTTTGAAGCAATTTTTGTGCTACCTTACATGCATATATATCTGAAAATAATTACTCAGTCAAAAATTGTGTTCTGATTTCTATAACGGTACAAAAGGATCTTTTGGCAGAATTGCTTTATTTTTTCAAATACACTAGCCCTATTCTCACCTCGAGTCTTTGCATTTGCTGTTCCCTTTGCCTGGTGCACTTTTTCATCAGATATTTTCATAGTCTGTTCCCTTGTCTTTAATATCTTTGTCACCTTCTCATCGAGACCTTCCTCCTCACTGTTGTAAAAAATGCACACCTCTGACTCTTCCTATCTCTTTTCCTTGCTCTATTGTTCTCTATAATATTTGTCAGCATCTGACACACCATATATTTTGCTTATATATTTATCTATTACCTATTTAAAATAAGTAAAATTAACTAAACTAAAAGTTAAGCAGCCTCTTTAGGGGTCTGTCCAGGAGTCAGCTTTCCTTCCACACAGAATATCGGTACTGGTTACTACAACTCCGAAACCACCAATTCATGTCAATAGCTCTCTGCTAAGAACACCCTAGGCAGACAGTCCATAGGAAGAGTGGCCTCTCTGGGAAATCAAACTCCAAGAGTTGACATGTCCTTCCTTCTGGTTGTAGATCTATGATAGAAACACTTGGTTAATTATTGTAGCTGAAGCTGCTATGTAAGTTTATCAAAGTCTGCTCCCTTTCCTGTCAGAAACACATCTAAACTATACTTCCCAGACTCCCTTGCAGTTACATGTAGCCATGTGACAGAGAACTGAATAAATAGAATGTAGGAAGAAGTGTTGTAATTACTTCAATTCACAACTTTCAGACTTGTTCTAGGAAAACCTCTTATGAGAGTTCCTATTTCTCTTTCTTTCTGTAGGTCAAATGCTGAAGATCCAGTAGAGGACTTCAAGGTCCTAAGTGCCAGAACCATTCAATGATCTCTTGGCAACCACTGAGAAGACCAATCAGAAAACCCTGCTTTAGATGTTGACTGAGGGGAAGAAAGATATTGAATTGAAAAACTGATATCTATGGCTTTCTGTGCTACAACTACTGGTATACCAATATGTTACTAATAGCTAATGCTTTCTTTTTCATTGCTCATTTGTCTTCCATGTTTTAGTACGTAACTTTGAAATCATAAAATTATAGCATTCTCACGAAACACCAAGTCATAAAGTAACCAAAATAATTAACACATGGAAGAAACTACATATATTTTTCTAAAAATTTAAAAATTATGACCTCATTTAATAATACACCATTGTTTCGTAAGCTAGTTAGAATTCTTCCTACATTTCACTTCTTCATTCTAAAAATTCGAGCTGAGCAGAAATGTATAAATGAATAGTACTCTTTTGCAAACACAATACTTCTCTTAAAAATCTCATATTAGGCTGGGTTCACTGGCTCACACCTGTAATCTCAGCACTTTGGGAGACACAGGCAAGAGGATGCCTGAGCCCAGGCATTTGAGACCAGCCTGGGCAACTTGGCAAGATTCCCATCTCTACAATAAATTTTTTAAAAACTAGCCAGGCTTGGTAGCATGCACCTGTGACTTCAGTTACTTGGAAGGTTGAGGCAGAAGGATCACCTGAGCTCAATGGGTCAAGGCTGTAATGGCAGTGATCATGCCACTGCATTCCAGCCTAGACAACAGAGTGAGACTCCATCAAAAAATATAAAAAAACAAAAACCTCATATTAATGTGGACTTCATTCTAGGTATGATCTTATTTTAGGCTTGGGTTTCTTCCCATTCTCATCAAAGCAAAGATTTTTCTTACTTGCCAATCTATTTCCACATTTATCTTTGATTGGGCTATTTTTCCTCCTAGTCATTTCCAGGCAGATGTGCTGGTAAATGTTTAACAGTCAGCTCTCTAGGAAAAAAGAAAACACCATCCTAGCATGTAGGCTTGTCACTTCTCTCATCAGAGCTGATTCAAACTACAGATGTGAAGTCACTGAAGCCACTGAATGTTGAGTTGGGACAAGATATGTATAATTGGCTCCCGTGAGTCAATCTCTGGCACACAATCAAGGACAAGTTTATAGTTTTATCAATAGTAACGACAATAATAAGAAGCTAATACTTATTATGTGCTTACTAGATGCCAAAATATTTCTCTGAATTTTTATAAGCTGCCATATAATTATATTCAATTCTCACAATATGACTGTGAGGTTGGTGTTGAAAATATTAAAAATTGAAAGTTAAAAGTTAGGATAATTGAACATAATTCTTTATAGTATAAACAATACTCAGACAAGGTCACTTTGTTTTTGTTGTTGTTGTTGCTATTTATTTATCTATTTTTAACCTTTCACTGAAAACTTTTTATTGGCCTTTTGGATAGAAACAGGAATTGATTTGCCAGGAAGGATGATCCCATCATACTTCTGCTGGAACCAACGCATGGCTTCCTCTTTGCTGATTCTGTGTTTGACCCTAATGCAGCCTGTTCTGCGCTTCTTGTCAGCAATGATGAAACCTGGCCTACCCAGCACCACATAGAAGTCCAGGCCATAGATATCAATGCTTGGGTCATATTTGATACCCAGATCAATGTGTTCCTGGATCCCCAAACCAAAGTTTCCAATATCTGAGAAGTTATTTTTTCTTAATTCATACTCCCGCACCTTCAGCCCTTTCTCCAGGATTTCTTTTCATATCTCCTGATGCCAAAGAATCTGACAGTGTATCTAGCTTTGGAAAACACAGGAGTCTGGCCTGTGAGCTGCTCCAAAATCTTAGCTGCCCACATCAGTCTGTCTCCACTCTCCCCTACACAGATGTTGAGGCAGAGCTTGCGAATGCAAAGTTCCCACATGGGGTTCTCCTTTTCACTTTGGTCCTGCACCATGATGGAGAACAGGAAGAGAAGGTCACTTTGTTAACTGTGGTGAAACAACACTAACACAAGATCATGCCATAACTATGTACAAAACAGGAAAGAGATAAGGACACCCTGTAACCATAAAAATAAGTAAATGTCCCCTTCTCCATCATAATAGAGTGACTGTGGTTTCTTATCAGTTATATCCCAGCCCCACTTTAGTACTCCTACCTCCTAGGTAAAAATTACTGGGATACTTAGTCACTGAATTGTCCTACTTCCTGACAACACCCCAATCCCCAGTCCAGAGTTTTGTCCAATTCCCTTACACACGCTTTAGAATAGTAAGATTCTCCCAACTTACCTAGATGAATTATTATTCCACTGGTGTGCACTCTCCCTTCCCACAGCAAGTCAAATAAATGTAACTTTGGCCACAAATGTATTCCTAGAGGTCTTTGATCAGCAGACTTTAACAGTAACAGTGACCTTATTTTGCAGAAAAGAAAACTAAAGTTTAAACTGAAGAGTCAGGGAGATAAGATTTGAGGTAATATTTCATACACGAGATTGCTTTACCTTCCTGCAAGCAGCAGATGGCATGGTCTGAATTTATAAGACATTATCAGAGAGCAAAATGAACTGGCTACCAGGATAGAGGTTCACAGTGGGTAACCCAGATATTAGCTATCACCTATAAGGATGTGAGAATAGTAAGAACAGGACATCTTGGAACCCAGAGTGGGAGCTATAAAGGTGACAGTGGTCCCCAAGGGATGACAAGCAGGAGCTAGAGGGAGGATCTCAAACCCTAGAAATATCCTGGCTTCCATGTTCTTCCTGAATGCCAATCTTTTGTCAGTTCTCCCATTGGCTAAAGCTACCCAGAAGCCAGAAGGAAAGAGTGCCTGGGAAATGTAGTTTTTTGTAATATAAAGCAGAGCAAGATAAAGATGGGGAATGAACCCGACACAATAACCTTCTCAGTTATGATTCAAGTGTTAAATCTATTTTTAAGTTTTAATAAGTCTATAAATGAGTCTTCTCATTAGAATTTGTACTTTGAAGTAGTTTCTGCTAATAGTAGTTTCTGCTGATTTGCAGTTACAAAGAATTCTAGTATAACACAGAGTTTCCGTTTATATGTATTTATAGAAATTTCTGCATTTTATACCATAAAAATCATAGGGAAAAAAAATTACAAATATTCTATTAAATAAAAAAGTTTTCCTTTCTAAGATATAATCACACACACCTTATCCTAGGTATAAAACCACTAGTAATTCACTCATGAAAGAGTGTTTTTCTGTTTTGTTTTGTTTCTGTTTTGAGTAGGGGTCTCACTCTATCACACAGGCTAGCGTACAGCAGCACAATCACAGCTCACCACAGCCTTGGGCTCATGCAAAACTTCCACCTCAGCCTCCCAAGCAGATGGAACAACAGGGGCATGACACCAGGCCTCAGGAAAAGTCTCCAATTTTTGACAGTCATTAGGATAAATCGAGGGTCTGCAAACACACCTATAGGTCAAATACAGACTATCACCTGTTTCTGTACTCTCCACAGCTGCTATTCCATTGTTTTTTGAGTCAGAGTTTTACTCTGTCCCCAGACTAGAGTGGAGTGACAATCACAATAATCAGGGCTTACTGCAGTCTTGACCTCCCGGACTCAGGCAATCCTTCCGCCTCAGCCTCCTGAGCAGCGGGACTACAGGTGCACCACAACCACACCCAACAAATTTTTTAATTGTTTTTTCTGGTTGATCTCAAACTCCTGGACTCGAGCAATCCTCTCACCTTGGCCTCCCAGAGTGCTGAGATTACCATCACGCTCGGCCTGTCTTTCCATTTTTAGACAATTGAATATAAATGGAAAGAAGAATCAAAATTCTTTGAAATTATTTGAAATTCAATTTTCATTGCCATAAATATGACTTTATTGGGACATAGCCATGTTTATTCATCTATGGCTGCACTACAAGAGCAGTTATGAAAGACAACAGAGACCCTACAAACCAAAAGTATAGACTATCTGATTCTTTACAGAAAAAAGGGTCCAGACTCCTGGTTCAGAGGAGGAAGGTGTTTTCTTGGAGATAGAAGCAGCTGCTTCTCTCAGAGGTGTCTCCAGAATTTATTTTTCATCATAGAGTTAGCACAGGTCTGGGTTGGCAGAAGAACTTAACTCCTTCCCTCATGCACTTTTGTCCAAGGCCACAGCTGATGGAAGACCTGAGCTCAAGTGACCCTAGTCCTAGCTGACTGGTTAGCTTGATGGCTGATCTGTCACTGCCCAAGTTTCCACCCCTGACTAGAGGCCCAGTTGGAGTTCTGGGCTTGAGTTCCACAGTAACCATTGTATCCTTACAATTATATAACATTTTTTCTTAAATGGGTTTTGAATTGCATCGTTAGAAACAAAAGTATTAGGAGATGAAAATTCAACCTAATTGTGTGTGTTTTTCTTTAGAAAAAATAGTCTTTTCCTTTTGGGGAAAGGGTAGACTACCTACTTCTTAATCAGCAGAACAATAAACAGTCTTTTGTAGTTCCAGATAAGTGATTCATTCATTCATTTATTCATTCATTCACTAAATACTGGGGGTGCCAAAAATATGTATACACGTTTTAAGAGAAGTTACCTATGTATTATTTTTAGTTCGCTGTAATCGTAAGTGTCTGAATGCAGTTGGCAACCACTTTGAGTATCTCTTGTAATTGCAGAAGTCAAACGTGACTTGTATTCACCTTTTGATAACAATATATATTGGGTATTACAATTTTAATATAGTATTTTTCTTTCTTAAAATACTGTTTTTTTTTACATCCTCTGTATTGATGATGACCTAGTATGTAGCAGGCAATCTTCTAGAGACTCAGGGTATACTTTAGTTAATAAAACAATTAAAACAAACAAATAAGCAAAACAAAAATTCCTCTGTTGTGTGTTACTATGCCTGGATAGGACCCTAGGGGCAACTGTAGCCATCTTGCAACCACAAATAGAGCTAAGGCGATATGTTAAGTTTGAAAAATATAAAGAGGGAAAAATCCTAGATTTTTGATGATAATACACTTAAGTTGCTCTCTGTGTTGGTCAGGGTTCAGTTGTACAGAACAGAATGCACTTCAGGCTGTTTAAACAGGAAAAGATTTATTACAAGCTACTCTCTACATCGAGCATTCAGAACTGACTTCTAACTCTTTTATATTATAACGTGTTTGTGGGCAACAAACATATCTTTCAGTTCTTGGGATGCCTTATTTGGCACAGCTCTTGGCTTGCCAGTTGTATACAGGCCAAGCCCTTTGTATTGGTTGAAAGGTTGACACTTGTATTGGTTGAGAGGTTGAAACTGCTCCTCAAGTACACAGCACATGCCGTGATGCGTAGACACCACCAGGGGGCAGAGAAGCCTAGAGATAGACATCTATGACATGATGGAGAGGAGAGAGGAGAAGAAGAAAGGGGGAGCCAAGAGGAGCGGGAGGAAAGGGCAGGAAGGAAAGAGGAAGAGTGAAGGAGAGAGGGAGGAGAACAAGGAGGAGGAGAAAGCGAAGGGCTAGTAGGAGGAAGGAAGATTAGGAAGAAGTAGAGTGGGAAGAGGTAAGGAAGAGGAGGGAAAGAGGGAAGGAACGAGAAAGGGGAAAGGGGTGGAGTGGGAGGGCTGGAAGAAGAAATGAGAGGTGAGAATTGCAGGGCAGGGGAAAAACCAGGTGACTGAAGTGAAAAAATCATTTTCTGGACAGCAGTTAGTGACCTTTGTAGAGTACTTTACATTTTACAATGTGATACATATACGGTCTCATGTTTTCCTCACAGCAACAACCCAGTTAGGAGTGATTGCTGTCCACATTTTCTTTTCATCCTAAAATGTTATTTTCAGCACAACATACTTTATATGTGGCAAAATAAAGAGAGACGTTGAGGCAAGTGTCAAGACTAATGGACCTTTACTACATTTTATAGTTTCATTAAACCCATTTCCATGGTAATTCTGAGATCTGTGAATAACATGTCACCAAATGGTGCATTCCTCATGTCAGAGCCAAGACACAGAGGCAAAGGAACAGAGTGGTACACAAAGCTCGACAAAAGTCTGCCCTCAAGTAGTTGGCATGCTAGAAGGAAAGTGAGGGAATAAGTAACTTATATAGTATGTCAGATGGCGACTTGAATGTTATGGGGGAAAACTAAGCATGAAAAAAGAGATAGAGTGAGGGGGAAGGGTGTGACTAGGGAGGGCTTTAAGCAGCTTCCTCATCTGTCAAATGGGGACAGTAGCCCCCAACTTATTTGGTTCTAGTGAGGAAAGTGAAAGTTGCACATACCAAGATGAAATCACTGTTTGTCTGCCCCAAACAAACTAGAGCCAGAGACCACAAAGTAGGAGGGTTCATGCTTGCCTATCTGAGATAAAGACTATCTCAAGACTTTTAAAAATAACCCCATAAGAAATTCTTTCTTTAGGACTGCAGCAAATAAGATAAGATCATCTCAAAAGAAGACCCATCCAGTAATGGTAAATCCACCAACAAACTGACACCAACTCTGGCTTTGAATCTCTGCAACCAGTGAACTCATTTCCAAGTAGCCTATGTGAATTTTCCCTTTTGCCAATACCCTCCCCTCTCCAGCTGCTTATGTGATTTGCAGTGTATAATTGTGCATCTTGGGCTATAATCCTCATTTCTAATTCCTGAATAAATTCAACATATTTGGAGATTTTTCTTCTTATTATTATTATTTTTTTGGTTGATAGAAACAAATTAGTTATTACATGTATAAGCCTTAGTAAGTCAATGCTAAAAATACAGAGAGACTTTGAAAGACATAGTTTATTACCATAATCAAATATTTAGAACTGTACTGTTTGAGGGATTGGATTAATTTTTTTAACTCCACAGAGCAGAACTACAAACAAAAGGTAAAGGCACAGGGAAGCCGACTTTACTCTGGAGGAGAAAGAACTTTCTCACAGTTAGTCTTGTCCATTTTGTGAGGTAAGGAGCTTCCTATTTTGGAAGTGATTG